CTATACTCATTTGTAAACAAGACCCCAAATTTCTCCACATTTAAGCAGCAACTCCTCCCTGACCCAGAGTGGACCCTCCACTCTTTTCCAGCTGAATACCATGGGCGTAACATAACATAAATAGTCATCATAAGGTGCTTTATATTGTAGTGTAAAAACCCTATAATATTACAGAGCAAACCTCATTGATCCAATAATCCGTACGAGCAAACAGCGCACGGAGAACAAGACTGTGGCTTAGGTAGGTCAGCCATCTGTTGCAGCTGGTTGGGCAGTGAGGTGAAACAGAAGAGACCGGAGCTGATGGATAACCTGCGGGCTGTCCGCATAAGTGCAAATTAATGTTATTAATCCTAAACTGAACAACGGCCAATGGCACGAGTCCAGGACTTAGATAAGACACAAATACGACTCAGGTGCTGCTGCCAAGTTTCCCACATAGGGATAAAATGTGGGCAGAATCTCTTTCATACAACACTTTTCAACCAGGTGTTGCAGCTCAAGGTGATGCACAACAATATTAAAACTGCAAGCAATAAAAAAGCAACGATAAAACACAAGCAATAAAAAGATAGAAATGCATGTGTTTAAACAAGTTATGTGCTTTATAGAACATTAATGAGCATTATGACGTCTAAACAATGCTTTCTGCTGTGACGAATGGTGTAAAGAAATCACCTTGTATTCCAAAATGCTGTGTTTAACACTGTTAGAGCAAACACATGGTTAAAATTGGGTAAAATTTGTCTTACAAAGTACTGCATCGCTTTTTGAACACCACACACACACACACACGCGTAACTGTAAGATTTCAATGTGAGACTTCTGACATGAAACGAAATTTCGGGAGCAGAACAAATGGGTGCTAAGTGGGGGTAATTGCAGCTGTAAATGTTAACATTTGGTGCGCACACTCGTGCTCAAATTAGAAGTTAAGCAGTGAAAATGTGGGTTAATCGTGTGTTTTATAACTCATCCAGATGCGGCTTGTTCAGTCAGAACTGTTGCAGCATATAAAGCCTGGCCACTAAACAATAGTCTCTTTGCATTTTCTCCCTCAGTACTTCTCGTCCTGCGTGCTGCTGAGCCTGCTGGCCTGTTCCGTCTTCCTGCAGGTCAGCAGCATCGGTAAGCTCTTCCTCATGCTCTTCATCGAACTGCTTTACCTTCTCATCATGGAGGTGCCCAAAGTGAGCCTCTTTGACAACCAGGACCTGCTGGTCATGGCCAATGCCATCAACAGCGCGTGAGTCTCTTTATTACACCTGTGTGTGTCTCATTTCATGCCTCTAATGATTAAAGCTTGAAGGTGTGCAGATGTTCTAAGTGCTCACCGGCTCTTCTCTGTTCCTCCCTCACAGTGAGCCCATGAATGGAACAAGGTGAGACTGATGGCGGGACCCAAAGCGGTCTCTGTCATCTGTTTACGCTAACAGCATCATTATCACTCCACTGGCACAAATGGAACTATAATGACCTGCTGGCAACAGATGCTAACGCTAATTAGCCAAGATTAAGAGGGCAGCTTGTTTTTGTGTTTTATGTTATTTTCCTGCAGAG